CCGAACCAAAAACTAACATCTAGAACACAGAAACCGCAGTAGAAAGGCAGGCATTAAGCTCAAACACACTTGGAGGACGGAGATCTGAGGAGTCCACTGTGGGACCAGCACGTCCTGCTGGCGGGCACCCCGTGGGGCACAGCGCTGGTTTGGGGAGGGGATGCAGCCTCGCAAAGAGCGGTCGGCAGGCCCCACCAGGCGAGACTGCCCTGCAAGCCGGCCTCCCACTCCTGCGGGTTTGCCGGCAGAAAGGAGAGCCTGTGTCTGCACAGGGGCTTGCACGCACCTGCAGACCTGTTCACAACAGCCAGACCTGGAAACAACCAAGGTCCATCAGCATGGTGTAAAGGGCACGTCCGTACAAGGGGCCGTCTGGGGTGGTCCAGGAGCAGATAGAGTTGGCACTGGCCGCAGCTGCCTCCTGGTGAGCGGGGCCTGAATAGCCTGGGAAGGGGTCCCAGAGAACGTTCTGTGGGATGGACGGCTGCATCCTGTTTGGGATGACGGGCATCGGATTGTGTGCAATTGTCAGGACACACTGAACTGAACACTTACGATGCGTGTGTTTTGTTTCATGTTAAGTTATAGCTCAACCTTTGATTAAGAGGGTGTCATGGGTTTACGTTTTCCTCATGGCCCTTGCTGTGAGGTGCAGCCCGGTAAACTCCGCACACCTGGGGGTGGTAAGCAAGGCATAACAATGCAGCCACCCCAGGCCTGGGGGCCCCCCGCCCCAGAGAGCGAAGGCAGCTGCCCGACCACTGATGCCCAGTGGAAGCCGTGTGTGGGCACAGGGCCGGGAGTGAGCAGCGTGCTTCTCTTTACATCCTGACCTGCGCCCGTCTGTGCTGCTGCCGTCGAGACTCTGGCGTGGCTGGGGGGGGGGTGGTTGTGCAGCGAGTTTTCCGGAAGTGTGCGGAGCACGGGACCCCCGGGTCTGCTCTGCAGCAGAGCTGTTTGCTGCCGCGGTGTCCAAGCCACTCCTCGGCCTCCGGCCTCTCCCTCGTGAGACTCACACCACTTCTGTGGGAGGGAAGATTCCCGTTGCCTTGGAAGCCCAGTGGCTGCCTTGTGAGTGGACTGGAATTGCCCCGGAAGCAGTTTCCCTGTTCATGTGCTCCCCTCCTATGTTGCTGAGGTGCTGCAGCCCCATGGAGGTCGGACCGTGGCCGGCACGGGGGCTCGGGAGAGGCGCTGCTAGCCACCTCAGCAAATAGCTGCGGACCAGGGAGATAAGTCAGGGCCCCTCCTCGGAGTCAGATGCCGCCAGTAAAATTTTGTCAGATGTAATGAGGTAACTGTTGGAGTGAGTGCAGTGCACCCCCGTGAAGGCCAACCCCGAGTGGGGGTCACCGGGTCCTTGCCGTCCCATCCTGGGATCCCCATACAGGAGAGCACTTACTCCGAGCCGCTTCATCGCACGGACACGGACCGCGAAGCAAGGGGCTTTCCCGTGAGCGCGCAGGGGGGCAGACCACACACTCCAGTACTTCTGGAAAGGGCAGTCTGTGGTGCTCTAGACTCTGGCCTCTGCTTCAGCCCCTGCTCACAGCCCCACACTCACCCCCTCGGCTCCTGTCTGTCTCCATCTCCAGACACTCGGCTCAGAACAGCCTGGGCCTAAATGGGCATCGAGTCCTTGTGGCTTGCGAGCGCCTGTGGTGCCCCCCCTGCTCCCTGCAGCCCCTCGCACGGCCGGCCACTGGCAGAGACGCCAGCTTCGGAGACGACGCAAAACCATCAGTCACCAACCCCCCCACAAGCCCGTGTTTCCGGCACCTGCCGGCAGCGTTCACTGCGCTGTGCGCGCTGGATTCAGGGTGGTTTCTTTACGGCTGTTCTTGGGCCAGGCAAGTGCTGACAGCACCCCGAGACAGCGCGAGCATGAAGGGGCCAGGGTGGCATGGAGACAGGTCAGCCCTGAGAGGTGCCCACGTATGCCTGTGACCCCAGTGCCAAATAGGGGGCACGTGACCATGAATCTCAAACTCACCCAAGACGTAGAGCTCCCCCCACTCGCCTGTTCAGCCCCCAGAGGAGAGGGATTGCAGGAAGCCTGACTGGCGTCCCAGACTGCCAGGCCTGCCCACAGGCATCCTCCTGAACCCCATGAGCCCGTTAGTGTGCATGGCCCGGGGTCATCAAGGCTTCTGGAACTCTGAGGGAAGGAGCCCCGACGTAGCCCAGTCCCCGCGTTTGCAGAGGGAGGAGGCAGCCCTGTTAGTGAGAGAGCGGGGGGCAGGGTGCACTCAGGATGGGCTTGCTGCAGACGGCTTCCTATGAGGAGGCCGTTCACCTGGGTGCAGCTGCAGGCCTGGCAGCCCCTCCTCACCCTCGGCTCGGGGTGAAGCATGCAGCATGGAGAAACAGATGTCCTTCCTGTGGCAAGGCCTTGGGCCTCCTGTCTCCAAATGGTGTCAGAAGCACGTCCTGGGAACCGCAAGCATCCGGAGAGGCCCGTCTGTGTCCCTGGGCGGCGGCCTTCATGCTCCTGCCCCCCGCCCCCAACTCCCCGCAAGGCCTGAGCCTGCCCTGGCAGCCTGGAATGTCCCAGCACCTCGCATCCTCCCTTCCCCAGAGAGCAGGGGTGGACAGCTGTGGGTCACGTGGCTCTCTTCAGGTCTGGCCTGGTACTGGCTTGTCTGAGCCATTTTTTCAGAATTAATTTTGGGCTGAAAAAGGCTGACAGAAGTCTTTGTTCCTTTGACGCTCACTCAGGAAGGAAAAATCCGTGGAAAATCTGACATCTGCACTATAGGGAGAAGTCAGTGGATGGGGAGGAATATAATTACTCTCCGCTCCCGGAAGAATGTCTCAGATCTTTAAGTGTCTCATATCAGCTTAGAACTTGAATGACATTTTAATTATTTTGTTTTTTTCTTCTCTGCCTGGTTTGAGTCTCTAAAGAGACCCACTCTTGGATTCCGAGGGGTGCAGGGAACGGAGCATCGCTCACGGGGCTGTCGTGTGATCGTGCCGCTTTCCCGCCCGCGCCGCAGGTCAGACATGCTCAGGTCTGGACAGCGGGCACGTGGCTCTTTGAATGTGCCAAAGAGTTGCAGCCAGGGGCTGTGTCTCTGGCACTGCTGTGACCTAAGCAAACCCAGTTTCCAGAAAGACGGGGACTCATCTTCAAATAGCACCACCCAGGTGCCTGGTGTGCGGCTCTGTGTGGGGGCGCGCACAGCCCCTGAGGCCTGGTGGCCGGGCTGGCGGAGGGCGCACCGTGTGCACGCCCCTTGTCAGAGCCGCTGGTGGGTCAGGGCCCAGGACGCCAGAATGCTAGGATCCCTGGGGGATAGGTTTGTAAACCGGCTATCCAGCTGCACGTTTAGCTCCTGCTGAGCCCATGTGCATGGCAGGAGCACTGCCACTCGGTCTGTGGAGGCCTGAAGGGCTGCCACATGACCCTGGGACCTCCTTGTCGTGTCTTGTCCCTGCTCCTTTGAGTGTTGTTGTGTCCATGCCACTCCCCACTCCGCATCCATGCTGCCTCTCAGCCCATCCTGTGGGCTCCACGTGCCAGACACGTCCCAACTCCTGGATGGTCCTTCTGCCTGGACGGCCACAGAGGCCTGCTGACAAAGGACCGTCCTGTCCCCCGCTCAGAGCCCTCACCACCCCAAGGTCCTTCCCTGCATGAAAGTCCCTTTTAGGTGTCTACGCCTGGGCCACCACCCCTGGTATGTATCCACTCAGCTCGATATTGCTGCGAGGCTGTTCTGCTGATGGGATTGAAGACCACGGTCACGGGGCGCCTGTGAGGAAGTAGAGCCGAGGGTCTTGGGGCCACAGCTGGCAGCGCCACCCCTCCTGATGGCCGCCATCCCGGCCTCGGCCCTGACCAGCCAGCTCTGTCCCTTCCCAAACCTGACACTGTGGCCCAGGGGCCCCTGGGCTTTGTCTAACACAGCCTTTCCTGGTCTTCTCTGCTCCGGACACACAAGTCCTTGGTTTCCCTCACACCTGCCTGGGGCGTCTGCCTTTTGCTCCTCGTTCCTCCTCCAGCTTGTCCCTGCTTCTCCAGGGCTGCCCACCCTCCTCCTCCAGAGCCCAGCGTGCCTTCTCTGCACCTTCCACACACCCACGCCACCCCAACCAGGGTGGGCCCTCCTCTGTGCCAGGCTGGGCCTGTGTGGTTGTATCTGCTGACCGGGCGGGACTCGGCCCAGAAGAGTCGCAGCTGTAAAAACCAGCATCACAAGAGAAAGCCGAGCTGCATCCCACGCTTGTTTCTCTCCACGTACTTCCTCACCTTCTAATTCAGCTCTTATGTAAGACACAGAACTCAGAACTCAATCTCTGGGACCCAAGCGGAGCTTGCAGAGCTGGCAGGGGACAGCCTCTGACTTAGGAAGGGAGCCACGAGTTCCCAAGAGAAAGTGGGGGGCGGGGCACGGTGCTGGGGGTGCTGGGAGCTCGGCTGCAGGCCATTCCAGGGACCCTTCCTCCACAGCCATGGCCCTGTGCCCCGGCAGCAAAGCCATAACCTGGACGCATGTGGGCCCGGGCACCCAGGTTTCCCGCGGGGGGAGTGAGCGCTCGAGCCACTGGGGAGGGCTTGGCCTAGCGCACCTGAGCTTCTGAGTTGCTCACTGCCATTGTGAGTGAAACGCAGCTCCCTTCTGGATCCCTCGGTCTAGCATCTGACCGTAGCTTTGTCAGCCTGTCCGTTTCTAAAGCCTCAGAAATACATTCCTGCAGTGATGCTCAGAAAACCCAAGTTTTTGAGAAAGCACAGAAGGTACTGTCTTTATCCAAGGAAGCCGGTAGTTTTGTGTCGTGCGCATGGTTTGACCTCGGCTGTCAGGAAGCCCTCAATGTGCTGTTGCTACAGCTTCATTTACGTCTCACCTCTTACGTATTTCAGGCAGGAGATACCCTCCTCCGCTCCCTTGAAGCTGCCTTTGGGTCCTCCCGCCTGTGGCTGGTTTGCACGCCCCTGGGACCACTGCCAGCCTCTGGAGTGGCTCATGTTCCTGTCTGTGTTGCCTTGGCAGGGCCTGATCAAGATCCGGGGAGACCGGTGCTGGCGGGACCTCACCTGCATGGACTTCCACTATGAGGTAGGTTGCATGGCGGCCGCAGGCCGAGCTCCCTGTCCCCCACCCGCCCCGCCACCCCGCCCATGGGGACCAGCACTTGTACTATAGCTGCAGCCTCTTAGAGGCCACACCTTGGGTCACAGGGATGCCCTCTCCTGCTTGCTTTCTTGTCGGAGCACAGGTAGGTCACAAGGTAGTTTTCAGGGTGTCCCGTGTGCTGGGCTGGCAGATGGGGCTCCTGGCCCCCATGGCTGTGGGTCACGGGGTCCATTCTGCTTGGGCGCTGGTCCCTCCACCACTGTCCATGGTCCTGCTTAGGCATCCTCTCTCCTGGCATCAGGGCTGGCCCCACATGCCCCCAGGAGAGTGCACAGTGGGAGTCACTCTGCTGCCCGCCCTGTTCCCCAAATCATGGCAGACGGACATGGTGGGAGGTGTGAGTCCTGCTGTCCTCAGATTTCCATGGTCCCCTCCCCCACCTTGGCCCCAAGCTTTAGGCAGTCGTCCTCTCCGCCCCCTTCCCTGGGACCCCACCCAGGTCCAAGACCCTCTGGACATTCCTGTCCCTGCTGATGGCTCACGTGTTTGTGGGGGGCTGGGACCAGGTCTCCCTGGGAACGAATTAACTCTAGGGCACTCGGTCAGAGCGACCTCATCCACTTGCCCATGTATACCGTGAATGCCTGCCAGCTGCCCTTTCCCTCTCGTCGGCCGCAAAAACATTGACACGCCTGGAGCGCCACCTGTCAGATGGGACGTTTTCTTCCGTGTCTCCCACCCCTGGCTTATGGTTCCCATACAGGAAAGTGACTTGTACCTGCTCTTGTGTAAAAGGTGCTTGCGACAGGCTCACGCCTCTTCTGGCTTTTCAGTCCTGAATGTGTCCAGTAGATGCCGCCTCGGGAGGCCTGGGGTGTCCGCGGCTGTGTCATCTGTTAACCAGCCTGGGGGCAGGGACGTCCCACGGATGCTGTGCTTAGCAGGGTATCAGACTGGAGATCTCCCCGCGTCCCTCCAGACTCCCCTCCCCTCCTGCCCAGGGGCCCATGAGTCCCTCCTTTGGTCCTGGAGCCGATGTCCTGTAAAGGGCCAGAGAGGAAATGTTTCTGGCTCTACAGGAGGGAAGGGGGCCCCAGGGGCTAAGCTAGGAGGCCCTCCATTCTGTCCTGGCCCCGCCACAAGCCCACAGTGGCCCCCAGCAGCTTGCGGGCAGGGCCCGTGACTGTCCAGCGTGTGCAGAGGGAGTGTGTGCTAGAATCCCCTTGGCGTCGAAGCCTGCTCTCTCTGCCTGCAGGTCTTGACCAGGGTGGATACAGGGCCTGTAACTCTGATTTCGGTCCACAGAAGGAGTCTTGGCCAGCAGGGAGAGGACCAGGTGAGCCCACACAGCGAGGCTGGTTGACACCCACCCACCCCCCAAGCTGGGTGCGTCCTCAGAAGGGTTTGAGTCAGGGGACACCAGGGCAGAGTTCCTGCATCTCCGCACACAGCCCTGGGCAGGATTTGGGCAGACGGTGGGCCTGTGACCCATATCCTGGGGAGGGGGCCAGGCACCTGTGATGTTGGTATGGTGTGAGGTCAAGGCCACTTGAAGTTGGTCTTCAAGGACAGGCTGAGTCTTGGCTCAATGACCATGTGGGGCCCTGGTCATCAAGTGGGAGGCCTGTGGCCTCCGGGTTAGGTCCCTTAGAGGAACAGAACCACTCTAACTGTCAAGGAGCAAGGGCCTTCCTTCAGTCGATCTTGTTTCCACACGCTCTGTAAACTAGGGTGAGGTGAGGAGTCAGGCCTGGGACCCCCCGTGCTGTTAGCTGCCTGCAGAACCCATTGTCGTCTGCCTGTCAGGGACCAGGATAGGGGCCACACGGCCTGTCCTCAGTGACCTGGACCCCTCCAGTCCTTGGTGGGTGGCAGCAGGGCCTGCCTCATTCACTGTCAGGACACCACTGGCAGGAGCCTCATAGGAGGGACCTGCTGGGGACAGTGGTGGGGCCGATGGGGCGCAGCACATGGGTGAGCAGGAGGGAGCGGCTTCCGGCCAAGACGAGAGCCCAGGCTTTGCTCATAGCTGCTTCTACTTCACCCTGAGCCGGTCTGCTCACAGGCATGCTGTCCACGTGGTGTGTTACCACGGCGAGGCCTTGCAGGGAGGTCGTTGGAGGTGAGCCCTGACGCCCCAACCCTGTGAGCCCCCCAGATCCTGCAGGGAGTAGGAGGCCAGCAAGAGAGGCCCTCATGTGACACCACAGGCTCACCCCCACGTCCCCCGTCTATGTCCTCGCTTTACCTACACGTGGCCGTTGGGGGACTCAGTAGGAGCAGAAGAGGGGCTGGGGCAGCACCAGCGGGTATGGTCATCAGCCACCATGGGGGAGAGAAAGGGCAGCGGACCTCCACAGACATGCCCAGGCCAAGCCACGGTGGCCCTGAGCCGCCATGGCAAAGCCAGTCACCCCTGAGAAGGAGGTCCCAGGAACCGTCGTCCCCAGGCTCATGGGTTCCGCCGGTGACACCAGTGAAAGCATCCATGAGGAAGGCCGCAGGGTCACCCGGCTGCCAGGCGCTCGGCAAAGGAGGAAAGGAAAATGCTGCTGCCAGGCGGCGGCTCTGCGTCCCGTCCAGGCCGCCGTGAGGTGCGCAAGCCTTCCGCGCGGGGCAGCGAGCTGTCAGCAGTGTTCAGGTTCCCAGGTGACCGCCACACTCAGTCCAAGTTAGTCGGGATGCCGACTTGTTAACTTTGGAAAGCTTTGGTTACCAAACGTACACCTCAGTGACTCACGCACGTTGGACGTACACACGCAACGGAGCAAGGGCCTCCGCTGCGGCTGGGGGTACGCTGTGAGGAGCATGTGGTGCGGTCGCTAAGCTGCCGGAGTCCCGCCTCGCTGGAGGCTTGGCAGGTCCCACCTGCGGCCCTTCGGGGGGTCGGGTCGGTGCCCCACCCCAGGCTGTGCGAGAGTTGACCGACACGGATGCCGTTATTTTGCTCCAAAGTCCTGCACGCAGAGCTGACCCTCCGTCTGCGGTCACCAGTCACTGTCTGCTCCTATCACCTGTGAGGTCTGCAGCCTATGGCACATTGGAGGGGACTTCGTGTCATGTCCTTTGCGCCTCGAAGCCCAAGGTTCAAGCCTGTGCAGGGGCAGCTAGCTTGCGGAGCCCAGACGCCGCAGCAGGCCCTTCAGGAGCCGGGGTCTGTGCCACGCGTGGGGCCGCATGCCCACGGTCACTGATGCACTCCCCTGCGTCCATGTCGTAGGGTGCCCGCAAGGCTGTCCACACACATGGTGCCTCGTCCTGCTCACCCCTGAGGATCCGCTGAGCACCAGCCTGGCCCTCAGCACTGACTTCCTGCTGCCCGTTTCTCTAACTGGGAACCATCTGAGCGTCAGGGCAGCTTCAGCCAGGTTTACTCAAGATTTCCCCTTGGTCTTGTGCGGTCAGGAAGGCCTCTTGCCACCGGTCTCGAACGCACCTGTTCAGCTATGTTGAGGTGGAAAATGGTTCCTTGTCACGGTGGTAACAGTTCTCAGTGAGCACTTGGCGCTCCTAGGCGGGCCATCGGTAGCTCCGTGTCCCTGGACGTTGCTCCTCCCGTCGATGAGCCCCTCAGTCCTGGGGCCCACTGGGAGGGCGCCCAGTGGCTCCGGTCTTTGAGAGCCCTGCAGGCAGGAGGAGAGGAGGGGGCACAGTGCCCTTCAGCCTTAACTCCTTGCTGTCCACACCCCTGCAGCACTGCTGCAGCACCTTGTGCTGCCCCAGAGGGCCTGGAGGCTGCAAAGGCGAATGCCCTAGTCCAGGAGGGTAACAGCGACCCTGGGAGCTGGCTACCACGGTGGCCTGGGCTAGGCCACCCTCCCCTACTGAGTGGGATCTCCTCTCCTTTAGTCCCAAACAGCAATCTTAGGGGCATACGCCTGGAGCACGTCCCACCCCCCTGGCCACAGTCCCCTTGCAGCTCTGTGCGCTCCGTGGAGGACTTGGGAAATGGGTCGCAAGTCCGTGGTTTCAAGGCCCTGGAGCGGGTGAGTCCTGGCAGATACCACTGAGAAGGTTCGAGTGACGGAGCGTGAGCAGCCCCCATTCCCCCACACGGTTCCTTCTACGGTTTAAGAGGCAACACCGGGCACTGTTCCTGTAAAATGGAGCATCTAAAATGTGTTCATCATAGACATAAGGCGCGTAAAGTGCTTCTGAAAGCGTCAGGCCGCTCATCTGCAAGGGTGGGAGAAGACAGGCTGTCCAAAGACCCGGCTCTGAGTGCACGCGCCCCTGCCCCACGTTTGGCTCCCTCCCTCTGAGCTGCACCCCTGCAAGAAAGCCAGTACACTTGCCCTTCGAACCAGAGCGTTACCGCTGGGGAGCGCAGTGGTAGAGACCTGGGCACTTGGGAGAACCCCCGATTCCAAGTTCTCTCTTAGGGATTCTCTTTCCTAAAGTTGACGCAGCTCCGGTCAGGAGGCCGTCCCCCTTCATAGCCACAGGGTCTCGGAGCACAGGGCTGCGCCTGACAGTAACATGCGTGCACCCCAAGATCAGGATGCCCGCGGTGTGGGCTGTGTCACCTTGAGGACCACTCCGGCTCCGGGGCCCATCTGGCGGCTGCGCACAGATGTGCGGTTCACTATAGGACGTCCCGCCTCTGTGCGCTGGCGCACACCCTCGCTGACAGAAATCTTGGACACATTCTGCCCGCACGGGGGGCGCGTCTCTGGCTCTGCTGGCCCCAGGTGACACCGATGTCCGTCGCAGCCCAGGGGCCCCGGGCATGGTCCCCCTGCCTGCTCTCTTGTGACCGTTCACCCAGCTGGCCTGCGTCTTCCCCCCCGGGCGACGCGCACACCACCAGTGGGTGGAAACCCTCAGCCGTGTTCTTCCATTCTGGGGGCGGTTTGTATCTTATCATGGTTTACAACATGCACCTAGTTTCTTCTCCTGGGTTCACATCTGCTCTGTCATAGCTGCGGGAGGGACAGAGGCTGACAGATGGCTGATGTCCTCCATCTCTAACGGCAGGCACT